TAAAAGGAAAATTAGCAAGTGGTTCTAACAACACCACATAGTCAAGAGTCCATCTGTGTTACTAAACTGAATTGATGACATTTCCCATACTGAGGAACATAAGCGTGGTGGTGGTTAACATGACATAGACACCCTGAAAATCTGCCAATGTTGAATATAAAGGATCAAAAATCAGCCCTAAAAAACTAAATTGAATAATGTTTATGTGCTTCAGAAACCTTAAGAACATACTACAGGACTAGAGCTCTCAACAGATGGAATCTGTTTCAGAAACAGATTGTGGAGGATTGATCTTTATTCATAATTTTCAATAGCAAAAACTGACCTCAACTAGCCAAATTACAGTTTATTCTTATAAAATTAGTGTTTTTCAGAAGACTTTCAGAGATGAAAAGAAGAGAGTTGAAAAGGAACAAAAATGATAAACACAATAAAGCAAATTCATTTACTGAGCAAATATTAAGTGCCTACTGTATTCAGAGTACTATATTAGGTCCTGGAGGAAACACAAGAATAAAATGTGGAGGTTTAAACAGAGGGATACAAGGTATAAACAAAGATAAATAAATATAATGCATATTATTTCCTTACCATTCTTCCCCCAACCCCAGCCCCAATTCCATGACAATTATCTATCCCTACTTAGCCCCTATAACTTTCTGGTGAAATTCAGATCCTGGGAGTAGTCCCTAGCTAAACTTGTTTTAGAACTTTAAATGTCATATATCTATGAACTATTAGCTTTGTTGTTCAAGAAATCTCACAACATAATTATATGGACCATCTAATAATTTGCCTGTTTTGTCAGATACAGAGGAAAGCTTGGGGAAAGAGCCTCTATCCCAGATAAATATAACTACTATTGTTGTTCAATCATGTCCTACTTTTCATGACCCCATGGACAAGTCCATGGTTTCCTTGGCAAAGATACTGGAGTAGTTTGACATTTCTTTCTCCAGTGTGTCCCCATTTTACAATTAAGGACCTGAGGTAAATAATAGTTTAACAACTTGCTAAGGGTCACACAGCTAATAAGTGTCTGAGGCCATATTTGAACTCAAGAAGATGAGTTTTCCTGATTCCAAGCCCCGTGCTCACTCCACCGCTCCACCTAGCTGCCTCTTAATTTTTCAGGAAAGTCTTTATTTTAAAAATAAAATAAAAAAATAATAAAACAGTGTAATTGATATCAATTTTATGGAAGTCTCCTGAGGAGTTCTTCAGGGATCAATTAGCTGGGATATTTAACATATTTCATCAATGACTAGAAAAAAGCATATGACATGCTTATCAAATTTGCAAATGATACAAAGTTAGGGATAGTGAACATATTCAATGACAAAACAGAATTCACAATAGTCTTGTCAAATTAGAATATTGGACCAAATCAAATAATAGGAAACATAATAAGGAAAATTGGATATTCTTACAACAGTTGAGTTCACAAAAACCAGATAGGAGAGTTATTATTGAATTCCCTAATTATCACTAGGGTCAAATACAAAGTTCTGTTTTGGTTATTCAAAACCTGCTTCCTTCATACATTTTCAGTCTTCTTACACTTGGTTCTCCTCCATGTCATGAATTCTATGATCCACAAATGGCCTACTTGCTATGGTTCACACAGGATACTTCATCTCCTACCTCCATGCATTTACATTAACTGCCCCCCATAACTGAAATATTATGCCTCCTCACCCATGCCTCTTGGTTTCCTTAGCTTCCTTCACAACTCAAGGATCACCTTCTGAAGACCTTTCCCAGTCCCTCTAGTGGCTAGTGCCTTTCCTTTTCAGATTATCTGCCATCTGCTCTCTATAGTTTTTATGTACTAGTTATTCACACCTCTCACCCACTAGAATGTGTGCTTTTTCAAGGCAGGGGCTGTTTTTGCCTTTCTTTGTATTCCCATTGTAAGTGTTTAATAAATGTTTGCTAATTGAATGGACTTTCTTCTCCTTTTGCTCTCACTTGGTGATTTCGTCAGCTCTCAATTCTCACCTCTATGACTATGATCCTCAGATGTATATATCTAGTTCTAGTCTCTCCTTAAGCTTTAGTACCATATCAGTAACTGACTACTGGACATTTCAAAATGGATATCTGGCAGTCATTTCAAATCCACTATGTCCAAATTCAGTATCATTATCTTTCCTTCAAACTTTACCACTATGAATTTCCCTATTACCCTCTCCTACTCTACCAGTCCTGCTACCTCAGTCAGACTTCTCTTATTCACCTCACATATCTAATCAGTTTCCAAATTTTGTAATTTCTTTCTCCATAGAATCTCTTGCATATGTCCCCTATCTATGGACAGGTTATTTCCATTAAAATTTATGAAAAGGAAAGCAGGGACTATTTTTGCTCTTTCTTTGTATTCCCAGAACTTAGCACAGTACCTGGCACAGTGTTTAATAAATGCTTGTTGATTGAGTGTAGTTCCACAGTAGTTAGTATGGAAAAAAATTGAGGACTATACCATCATCACCGAAATAGAAACACCACAATGGAAAGAGTGCTGACATTCAGGCCAAGTCATTTCACCTGTGTGGGCCTCAGTTTCCTCAACTATAAAATGATGGGTTGGAATAGGTGACCCCAAGAGTCCTTTCCAGTTCTAAATCAATTAACTGGGTATGTTTTACGCTAGAGAAAACTTGATATGACAGCTATTAGCAAATTATTTAAAAAGGTACCAGAGGTTAGAATTAGGATGAATGAGTTAAAGTTGCAAAGAGGCAAACTTATCACAATGTAAGGGAAAAATTTTATCAACAAATTAAGAATTTTGGAAAAATAGTTGACTGGCAGCCTTGGCAGTGTATTCAGTCACTTAAGGTCACTAAGCAAAAGTTGGATGACCAATTACTTATCTGATATGCTATGGAGGGGAAGTTTGTGGGGTTGTCTCCTCTCCCCAACTGCAAAACAGATTGGACTAGATAGGCCAAAACTGAAATTCTTATGAAATAGGGAGCTCTGGAAATCTTTGCAGCAATAATTAATAACTCAAGTTTATATGCTGCTTTATAATTTAGGATAGTTCTTTTCTCACAGTGGACAAACCACAGCTGAGGGAGTAAACAATATTATAGTTAATAAGTGATAAAGCAAGGGATAGAGGACAGCTAGGTGGTGAAGTGGATAGAGCCCAGGGCCTGGAGTCAGAAAGACCTGAGTTCAAATCTGGACTCAGATATTTACTAGCTTTGTGACACTGGGCAATTCACTTAACCCTGTTTGCCTCAGTTTCCTCATCTGTAAAATGAGCTGGAGAAGGAAATGGCAAACCACTCCAGCACCTTTGCTAAGAAAACCCCAAATGGGATCACAGATCTGACTGAACACACACAGAAGGCACAGAACCCAGGCAATCTATCTGAAATTCAGTGCCCTTTCTACTACCTGATGTTCTTAACCTTTTTTGTGTCAGACTTTGTTGGCAGTCAAGTGAAACCTATGAACCCTTCACAGAATGTTTTAAAATCATTATTGAAAATGCTAAATTTCAGTTCGAGATTAGTGAAAATAAAGATTTTTTTCCTCTAAATGCATCGGTCCCCTGCATACATGGTCCACGGGGCACAGGTTAAGAACCCTAGCCCTTTACCAACAAACCCTTATTTAGCATCTGCTATGAAGAACCGTACTAAATGGGTGAGCTACACAATTAAGAAGATAGTCCCTGCCCCCTTGCGGCATACAGTCTAGCAGCGGATGACAATAATTGGAATAAGTAAAACACAATACCTATTATTTGCATTTGAAAGTTACATATCTGAGTTCTAAGGGAGGCCAAATCAGTCCTGGGATTCAGGGAAGGCTTCTTGGAAGAGGTAGTTTTTGAGGAGCGCTTTTAAGGGTCATCAGAGGCAGGGAGGTGCAAGAGCTATAGACATGGCCTCAAAGCCACAAGACCTTCCTTTAAGTTCTCTCACCTATCCTGGCTGTATTGACGTTGGCAAGTCACTTAACCGCTCAGTTCTCTGAATGATTAAGACTATAATTTACAGAGTACGTGCCAACCTGCATTGGTAGAGGGAGTGCGCTATACAAGGGAAACCAGAAGTCCGGTCCTCGTGCCTATACTTTTTAAGGGTTATAGACTTGGATTTGGAAGAGGGTCTTCGAAGTAATCCAGTTCAAGCCCCTCATTTTACCGATGAATAAACGACAGCTCACATGTTAAGTGACTTTGTCAAGGTCACTCTGCTTGTCACAGCAAGTACCATTAATAAGACTTTCCACAGGTGCAGGTTACCTCCTAAAAGCACAAATGTTTACTAGAGAGTATTTTATGATTTGGGTTTCCTATTACATAAAGCCCCCTACCACCTCCCTGTCCCGCGGTCCCGGCCCACGTCCTAGCCCAGGAGCAGGGAGGGAGCCCCAGGGAGGGGTAGACAACTGAGAGATACTGCCCACGACGGAAGTGAAGGGGAGACCCCCAGCCCCAGACACGTCAGCTAAGACAAAGGCCATTTTCCTCCGCAACATCGGGTCGTGAAGTCAGCTAACTTGTCGTCCACACCAGCAGCTTCCGGCAGCAGCCGGAAATCGCTCACAAAGAGGGCAGAGGAGGGAACACAGGAAATCCCGCCCCCTCCATCTCGAGGAGACGGTGGCTCGAAGGAGTCACATCGGAAGGGCTCGGTGTTCCGCTCCAAGCAGGTAAGTCACTCTTCTTGGGATGGTTTCCTGATTGCGGGGGTGGCCCTCGGGTCTGTACCGACTCTGTCGTTAGAGAGAAGGCCTCCCTCCCCCAAGGGAACGGGCCCGTCCTCAGAGTCGCGTTTCCGGGCTGGGGAGGCGGCTTTCCAGGGACCTGCTCCATTCCGGCTTTTGGGGGCGGAGCCAGCGGGCGGAAGTGGGAGGAAAGAAGCCGCCGGGTTCTTCCCGTAGCCCAAGGTTGTTTTGTAGGGTCGGGGGAGATGTCAAAAGTTTTACAAACTTTAAGCCTTTATGGATGATTCAGGTAGTAGAGGGAAATCCTGACCCACACTCCATGACCTCTCTGTCTCAGTTTCCTCGTCTATAAAATGGGGATAACAATAGTCCCTACTTCACAGGGCTGTGAGGATCAAATGAAATACGTATAAAGCGCTGTGGAAATGGTCTGTATTATTGTCGGTAGGTAGGTGGCTCAGAGTGCGGGGCCTGGAGTCTCAAATCCGGTTTCAGACACTTAACTAGCTGTATAATCCTAGGCAAATCATTTAACCTCCGTTTGCCTCAGTTTACTATGGGGGTAATAATAGACCTTACCTCACAGAATTGTTGAGGATTGAATGAGATAATTGTAAAGTGCCTTCAGTCATATTCAGTCGTGACCGATTCTTTGTGATCTCATTTGAGGTTTTCTTGGTTTGCCATTTCCTTCTCTAGCTCATTTTACAGATAAGAGAACTGAGGCAAACAGGGTTAAGTGCCTTGCCCAGGGTCACACAACTAGTGTCTGAGGTTGGATTTGAACTTAGGAAGATGAATCTTCCCGACTCCAGGCCTGGCACTCTATCCACTACACCATCTAGTTGCAACAGTTGTAAATTGTATGTGCCAGACATGTGCTATATAAATGTTAAGTGGTTGTACTCCTCCTCCTCCTCCTCCTCCTCCTCCTCCTCCTCCTCCTCCTCCT